ACAGGGTCGTCCCAATATGCGTTTTTGCAATTTGCATATAGGCAAAAACGCATAAAAACGAATGATAGTACCGGCAAGCCTGGCGTGTTTCAACCTGGATATTAAGTTATGATCGTGTCACAGCAATGTCATGCCATTTTGCATAATATGTTACTCTGGAGACAAAAACTGCTAATCAAGGAGCCGAAATTCTAGGAAAATTTTTTGATTGCGCTCCAAGCGACTACTGCACATAAAAAGCTTGTTTTCAGAACGACGAATGATTCTGCCTCCAGCAGAAAAACCAGACATAACATCTAGACCACAACCATTTGCCAGTGCTCCGGGCCAGAAAGGCGTTGCATTTGGGGCGGGATCAAGTGCGCCTATTTTTCGGATAATCAGCAAATCCGAGAGCAAGAAGGGCTTCCAAGAAGTTGTGGGGGGAACTGATGTAGTTCCTGAAAGCGAGAAATCGCAAAAAATTGCAGTATGGCATAGCGACAAGTTGCCGCATTACAGTGGTCGAAAACATGAAACGATTAGTGCGGAAGTATACGTCAGAAGTCCACCCGAAGCGAAACCCGCAGTAATTAACGTTTCAACAGCTGACAGCGAGAAGGAGAAACCACGCTGGGTGATCCTGAAAGCGTGTGAATCAAAACCTCGTAAGTGGAATGCCGAACAGCCAGAAAAAGAGCGGAAATCATTAAAAGTCAGGATTCAGTCGGATGCCACCGTGAGCAGCGGAACTTCAAAGCTCAAGCCTGGATATTCCGAATTCGACAAAAGTTACGAAAATCTAGGAACGAAAAGCTCTTTGAAAGAAAAAACGCATGATTTCTTTTTCAAAGTGAAAAAAGAGATGGCTGAAAAGACTACCGAAACATTGCTGTCGGAAGATTCCAAATTGGCCAAAGATCTAAGTTCAGGTTTAGATGCCAGAAAATGTGCGCAGAACGGCTTCCGGGAATATCGTCGATCCAAAACCGACCTTCCAGTCGAGGGTAAGTAATTTGCAGGGCAAAATAAAATTTCCAGTTTCAAACATTTTGAAATGTCCAAATTTGCCCAGAAGTGAGAAATTAGATGTAACGTTTTAAAGATTATTTTGAGATGAAATTCGTTTTGAAATTCTGTGAAATTAAAGAATTTAATTGTACTTTGAGGAGTAAGTTTAAAATCTTGTCCTGATTTCTATGAAAACAATTCATATCAGTTTCTTAACATCTTAATCTAGTCTCCAAAGTCACAATACTCTTCTGTTTTTTCAAAACGAAAGAGAGTCGTCTTTTAGCAGTTGCTTACAGTAACAGTGCAGCTATTCAGGAAAGAAATTATACACGAAGATGCAGGAAGCGTCAATTATCTGGAAAACTGATGCAAATAGTGAAACACATCACACCAGTGCTTTTGAGCGAGCGCTTCCGAAAGTAGCCGATTCGCGTGAAATTTGTCGCCGTGGGGCACCTATTCTATTCACATTTCTTCAGCACAGCTCCAGTCCTCAAATTTTGAACAACAACGTTTCACTGGTATTTAACAACGGTTTGTTTTTATGCGCTTTTTATGCGTTTTTTGCAGCAATGCAATGCGAAAAACGCATATTGACGAGAGGTTGTCT